GAGAGGCGCTGTAGCGCAATATAGGTTCAGTGACGCCTCCTTTTTTCCAGTGACTCCGCCTCCAGACTCCGCCCTCAAGGCCCGCATTTCAGTGCTGCAGGACGAAAAAGCATGAAAATCGTCACTCGTAGGGTCGTAGAGTTCTTATCGGGGAACCAGCTGGGCGGATGAGGGCGTAGTGTTGGAGATGGAGTTAGTTAGGCACGTACAAACTGGGATCGGAATGGGGTTCTATTTAGGGTAGTTGGCATGTTTTTACCGCTTTTTCCTTCGCTTTCGAGCTACTCAGAGCCTTGTCGTCTATATGCGAACTCCTAATCCACTATCTGTGATGGCGAATGATCGCGGACTTTGCCTTTAAAACAGTTTTTTTTCAGAGGAAGCAAACTCATTCTCATTGGTCAGCTGTACCCCTACATTTACCGTCTCCCAGTAATCGAGTACTTGTGCAGGGGACGCTTTGTGAACATTCTCAAGAAGGTGATCGTGATCTTCCATTGTATTTTTTTCATTTCTATGTTATGTGCAGTTCGGCTTGGCGGGGGTACTGAATGGCATTTAGCAAATCTTATGCAAGTTACCTTGAAGACTACTAAATTTCTGTAACCGTACTGATCTACTTGTCCAATTTCGCAGCTTTACATGAAATTACAGGTCTCACAATCAGTGAAGTCAGACCTGTTAGTTAACGTGAACTAGTAGGAATTCACTAGCAAAACTGGCTAGATGCCCCTCCTGAGGCGATGTGCACCTTACATCCGTACAACAATTTTACCTGCAGCCTCGCCGAACGATCAGCGAAGACATAGAGCGGGCTCTTGAGTCATATTCAGTGGAAGATGAGCCTGAATGCATAGTGCAAGCCTACCACCAAAGGATGCAGACGAATACGAAGCTGAAGTGAGTTCGCACTCCAAAATTCTTTTAAATTGAGTGTGTGATTGTTATGTTCGGCCTGCGTATGATGCGGGTTACGCATACTGTGTTTCAAGCGAGAGTGAGATTTTGCGCGCGCCAGCCAGGCTCTTCTCCACCAGTGGCTGGATGCGTAAGCGACAACAGTTGGTGAATAGTACTGATACGTACGATGATGCAGTCTTGTCGCTTGCCAAAAGAAAAAAACAAGCAGGCTGGTGTACAAAAAAAACCTATCTCCTTGACACGCCCCTCATCCGCAGCAGACAAGACTAAAAGGAGCTGAATCGAGAGCAGCAAAGAGCAATAACTCGTTTTTAGCCCTCAAAACCTGCACAACACGTGTGTTGATTTCTTCCTGGCTGGAATGGAAACAACCGCAACGACGCTCATATGGGGCACATTGCTTTTAGCACGCCATCCTGATGTCCAGGTACCTATCAGCTCGAAGATGTAACAGCAGTAGGCTTAGCAACAAGTTCAACGCGCCTTTTCCAAACGTGGGGGGGGGGCACACCACGAGGATATGCCCAGTACTTTTCACTGCATACGCGGGAGTGTGTCGGGAGCTGGGTATGGCGCGGCGCCAGCCCGTTATCCACCAATTGTTGAAGCGGACAAGCGACAGCGACTGGTTGAAAACGGGCTGGCGCCGCACCAAATCTAGCCCCTGACACACTTGAGCGTTTTCAGTGAAAACGACTGTAAAATGGCGGTCCCTGCCCCTCCTCTGACAAGAGAAGAGCATTCCAAATCTTTTCCACTCACCCCAGAAACCCTAACCTTACCTTCAAACCTACCCAACCCCCACACCATAAATCGGTTTCAAAAATGCTTACCTGTGGTTATCAGCCTTGTGATGAGTCTCAGTTTTATAGAGAGCTCGCCGTAACACTTTTGATAATTTTTATTGAAAAATTTCAGGAGAAGGTCCGTGCAGAGATCCTGTCTGTTGTTGGTCCAGATGGTAAGCCCACGTTGTCAGACAAAGAAAAAATGCCCTATACAAAGTGAGTTGGAGTTCCCTCAAAGGCACCCACTACAAGTTATAAGAAAGACAGCACTGGGTTCGAGCATGAGCTTAAGGGGGTAATTAACTAAGTAAGTAAGTAGTAACTAGTAGCTGAGTAGAGGAAAAAAGGGAGGAAATCTCCGAAAACTCACCACCTACGGCTCTTTCTTTACAAGGACAACTTTGGGGAGACGGGCGATTCTACCGTGAGCTAACGACGCCGTGCCGCTAACGTCGCGCCCGGCGAGCCACGCGGGACGTCAGAGTTTTACTACCGTATCCACTTGAGTTGTCGCTGCAGTAGGAGATTTGCTCTTG